ACCTAGCCAACTCCCCAGAGCTGGATCTTGGAAGCCATGGGGAGTGAAGCCATGATCTTGAAAAGAACCTGTAACTGTTATTTTACTAAATGAGCACAATTCCTAGCTACATTCTAAATAGTTGTTCTTATACCCTCAGATAAGTGTATTTCTCAACCCTCATTAAGGAAACTTCTCTTTGCAATAGAAAACCACTACTAAGCAAACATGCAGAATTGTGGAGCCCAGTTCCAAGGGATACATGTACAGTACCACTCCTGCTCCGAAGGCTCAGGTATCATTGCTGAAACTGGTATGGAAAGAATTTAAAAGCTAGAGGATCATGGAGCTTGCTGTGAGATTGTGTCTCCTGGGATTGTCAGAAGCTACACCCATAAAGTCTCACCAACATGACTGTCTGAACATGAGCTGAACAAGGACAACAGACATGCTAACATGGAGAGAGAAAGCTCTTGGAGGCCTTAACCCTACACAAAGAACTGCACACAACTAAGCAATGCCCAGGGTGGGAGAAATAGTCTTCCTCAGAGAAAAGTACATCAGTTTGTTATCCAGTACCGAATGTTCAGCCCTAGAACAATACATACAACAACATACAGACTGAGCAGGTTGTCTTTGTGCATTTAGGAATATATATTTATATATTACATACATATAATTATTGTTCCAAATAATTAATAGAAAAAGAGGCAATGAAATTGGAAGAGAGCAAGAAAGGGAATATGGAAGGCCTTGGAAGGAGGAAATAATATAATTAATTATATTGTAATCTCAAAAAATAAAGTACTTAAGAATTTACACACACACACACACACACACACACACACACACACAACCATCCAGTAACAAAATAGACAAAATATTTGAACAGATTCATGTCCTAAGATACTATATGAATGCAAATGAATGTTTGAAAAGGTAGGGGACATGTTATCCATTAGGGAAATGGAAATCTAAACCATAGCACTGTACCTTTTCATGCGTATTAGAATATTTAATACTGAAAGAAAAACAGAAGCCGATAATACCAAGTATGGACAATGGATGTGGAAAAACTGAAGGTCTCAGAGGTGGTATAAAATAACAGTCTTTGTGCAAACCAATTAGGCACATTTGTGTACTGATAAAACAGGCTTCCCAAAATAAACCAGCAAGCCCATGTTTAAGCATTTTTTTACCCTCAGGTTGAAGCTATAACCTATAAGAACCTGGATTCTGGATGTAAAACTTTATATCAATACCAACCCTACACCTCAAAAAATCAAAAATAAAATATAGCCTCTGAAGGGAGTGAACAGATGAAAAAAATATTATGTTCACACTAGGGAATATTGCCTGGCAATGAAGAGAATGGACTCCTGAAGTATATAACAATCAGGATAATTCCAAGCGCATTACCCAACTGAAAGAAAGCAGACCTGCAACAGATTTATGACTTTCAGGACAAGGCAAGACAGTAGGAACAGAAATCAGGAGTGCTTACCAGGAGCGCCCCACCCCCATTCCATATGGGGACACCTATGTTAGGAGGGGATTTTGTTCTGTCTTAACTGTAGTGGTTGCTTGTGTATGTCTTCCTCTCTATTTACAGAATGGTACCAAGGGTGGATATAACTGTAGATATTGCAATAGAGAAAAAGCTTAAAATGAATTCCGGGGCTGCAATCGTATTTCCCTCTTTGTTTTTGTTTTTCATTAATCTTGTGTATGATGGCTATTTCGTTTACTCATTCATTCATTCCTTTAACAAGCATATGTTGAGAACGGACTGTGTGCTTAGCACATTGGGATCAACAGTGAGCAAAGCAGAGGGAAAAATACTTTACTTGGCCTTGAGTAACACGGAGGCCATATCTAAAGCAAACAGTGGGATGTCTTAGTCACTGTTCTATTCCTGTGAAAGACACCATGAAGAAAGCAACCCTTTAAAAAAGAATTTATGTTTTGAAATTTTATTTTACAATTCAATCAAAGTTCTCCCTTCTGCCCCTCCTGCTGCACCCCCCACTACCTCCCAGACCACTCCCCATCCACTCCTCCCAAAGGGTAAGGGCTCCCCTGGGAGTCAACAAAGCCTGGCACATTAACTCGGGGCAGGACCAAGTCCCTTCCCCTGCATTAATACGAGCAAGGCATCCCATCATATGGAATGGGCTCCAACAAGCTCGCTCCTGCACCAGGAATAAATAGATCCTGGTCCAGGATCCCTCAGATAGTCCAAGCTTCACAGCTGTCTCCCACATACAGAGGGCCTAGTTCAGTCCCCTGGAGGCTCCACAGCTGTCGGTCTGGAGTTCATGAGCTCCTACAAGCCTGGTTCAGCTGTCTCTGTAGATTTCTCCATCATGATATTGACCTCCCTTGCTCATGTATCCCCCCACCCCTTTGACTAGATTCCCGGAGCTTGGTCTGGTGCTTGGTTGTGGATCCCTGCATCCATTGATTATGGGATGAAGGGTCTATGATGACAGTTGGGGCGTTCACCAATCTGACTACAGGG